GTTTTCATCGATTTTGATTTAGAAGAGGATCACAAAAGTGTCTATGCTAGGGACTTCATCCGAATTGGTGGTATGCAAATGAAGCTACAAAAATGAAAAATTGATTTCAAGCCAGAGATTGAAACTACTATGGCACCAGTTTGGATTAATCTTCCTGATTTACGGTGGCATTTCTTTGAATGGGCAGCTCTTTGTCGAATTGTCGAACCAATTGGCATCCCAATTATTTGTGACAAGGAGACTCTATAAAAAACGAGGCCTACCATGGCTAAAGTCAAAGTCGAAATTGATATAACAAATCCTCTTCTCAAGGAAGTATTGATTGATATCCTTAATGAAGCAAGTCAAAAGGAGACGATAGTTCAGAAGGTGGAATATGAAACCATTCCAGAATATTGTAACCATTGCAAGATGCAGGGACACAGTGATCTCAAGTGTGGTATATTGCATCCTGAATTAAGACAATCTACTGAAAAAAATAGAGAAAAGGCTAATATAAAATATGTTGCTAATAACATTTCTATTGATGCTACAAGTGGAGGAAACATTGGTAAGTTGATAGTGGGTAGTAAGGCAGAAAGCGGTGGAATTAACAAGGAGCAAGATACCTCGACTATGGAGGTGGAGATCAAAGATGAAGAAGGATGGACCATTGTAGGCAAAAATAATGGGAGGAAGAAGTGCAGAAATAGTAACAAAAATCTTCTTCTTTCAAAGGAGCTAGCAGAAATTCAAAATCCTCCAAAACAAATACATAAAGGGTCATCTGAAAATAATGTTACTAATCCAAAATCCCAAAGTAAAGAATAAATTTTGACTACTGATATAATCATGCAACCCCGGGTACCTACGGAAGAAGTAATGAGCTCAAATGATCAAATGAAATGCACTTCTACTAAGAAGGTCAGAAGGCATATGAAGTCCTCCTTTGAGAAAGTGGTTCCTCCTTATGAGAAAAAGAAGAAGCAGTCTGGAAGTGAAAAGTGCAAGAGTATAATCATTATACAAGCTTCCTCCATGATTGTGAGGCCTCCAGAAGATCCGGATGGGAACCAAGGTGTAGCTAATAACACGGAAGGTTACAATTCGACTGTTTTCACTGGTGATTCCTCTAGAATTAGAGTTGAGGAGCATTGTAAGTTTAATGATATAAATATAGAGAATGCATGTATTAAGTCTAGTTCACATCTTGATGAAAATGAAGTGGATGAATACTCCCACTTTGAATCTGAATCGTAAGAAGAGGTGGAAGAGACTCAGTTCCAAAAGGTGCAAGCTTCCTTATCTGAAAATGAAGTCGATGTCATAGTCAAAAATTGCATGGAAGTAGATCCTGGAGCTAACTTGAATTTAACTCAAGAGCATAACAGGATTGTTGAGGTCAACAATCTATCTCTTAGGGGTCTAGAAAGAGGAAAGACTGGTTGGTCCAACTCTCAAAAGACTATCTCTATCAAAACTCAAAACATAGTTCCCTGCACAAATGTTTCCAATGATTGACACTCTTTCGTGGAATATAAGGAGTATTAGAACTCAAAGTGCCTTTGAGAGACTCAAAACCCTCAAAGACCAATATAAAATCTCCCCCATTTGCCTGCAAGAACCTAAAGGGAGAGTGGGTTATATGAAACATGAGACAACTCAATATAAATGGATGATACTCAAGTGTTAACAATAAAATTTGGGTCTTCTGGTCCAGCGATTTTGTTGTTGATATTGTCAAAGATACTGATCAACTAGTGACTTGCAAAATATCTCATATTTGTACAAATACTCAATTCCACTGTTCATTTGTTTATGCTAAATGTATTACAAATTTGAGGAAGGATCTTTGGACTGACCTGCTCAATCTATCCAACACTCTTACAGGTCCTTGGGCTATGATGGGTGATTTTAATGTTATCACAACTCCAAAGGAAAAAATAGGAGGCAATTCTTATAGGATCGACAAGAGTTTTGACTTCCTAGAATGCCTAAGAGAATGTGGTATGTAGGATGCAGGGTATCTTGGCAATGTGATTATATGGTGTAATAACAGGGGAACTCCCAATACTATATGAAAGAGGCTTAATAGGATGGTTTATAACTCACAATAGTATGAATTGTATGGTAGGACTACTGTTACCCACCTTGCTAATGCATATTCTTATCATATGCCACTTCTTATCCAATTCAGCTCTATTGAAGAGGTTAATGTAAGGTACTTTAAATTTCTCACTTTCTGGATGGATCATGAGGATTTATCTAATGTCGTCAAAAGTATATGGGAAGAGGATATCCAAGGTAATCCTCTCTGGTCCTTACACCAGAAGCTTAAAAAGACTGCCTCCAAACTCAGTTCCTGGTCAAGATAAACTTATGGAGACATTCATGAAGAACCTAGAAAACTCAAGCGAAAAATTTCTAACCTTGAAATGGTTCTGATGAATGATAACAACGAGAGCAATAGAACCAAGCTGTACAAATCAAAGGCTGAATATATTAGATATCTCAAAATTCAGGATTTTATATTGAGACAGAAAGCTAGAGTTAAATAGCTCTCTGAAAGTGATTCTAATACTTCTTACTTTCACAGTGTGATCAAGGATAAAATAAGGTAGCTGGACATCAACAAGATTCAGAATGAACATTTCCGATGGGTGAAAGGAACTAAAAAAGTCTCTGAAGGTGCATCGAGATATTTCCAGGGAACTTTTAGTCAGAAACCTAAGTATAATGACTACTCTAAATTGAATATTATTGACCCAGTTGTTTCAGAGGATATTAATAAAAAATTAATTGCTTTTCCCATGGAGGAAGAGCTGAAAACAAGTATTTTTTCTATTGACTCAGATAGTTCTCCTGGCCCTGATCGATTCACTGCTAAATTCTTCCAATCTTGTTGGTCTATTGTTTCCCATGATATTATCCAGTCTTTTAAATCTATTTTTTGTGGTGCTAACATTCCCAAGTGGTTTACTCATACTTGCATAGTTATGCTTCCTAAAGTCCCTTCTCTCCCAACATTTTAATGATATTAGAGCTATTAGTCTTTGCAATGTGATAAGTAAGATTTTTGCTAAACTCCTTAACTCTAGACTAAGTTTCATTTTACCTGACTTGATAAGTTGTAATCAAAGTAATTTTGTAAAGGGTAGATCTATCGGTGAAAATATCTTACTCGCCCAGGAAATCATTCAAGATATAGGGAAGCCAAATAAGGAAGGAAATGTTGCTTTAAAATTAGATATGGCCAAGGCATATGATAGGGTGTCATGGCCATATCTTTGTATCCTTATGAGAAAACTTGGATTCTATGAAATTCAGATTGACATAATCTTTAGACACATTTTCAGTAATTGGTATTCCCTTATTGTTAATGGTACTAGACAAGCCTTCTTCAAGTCTAAAAGAGGGTTAAGACAAGGAGACCCTATCTCCCCTTCTTTTTTTGTTATTTGTGCTGAATTTATTTCAAAATAAAAATTATATAACTACTCTTGAGGAGTTCAAAAGCCTTCACATGAACAGAAATGGTTCTTTAATAAATCATCGTGCCTGTGCTGATGATGTCATCTTTTTTTCTAGTGGTTGCAGGAACTCTTTGCTGATGTTAATGAAAGCATTATCAGTGTATCAAAAGGTCTCATGACAACTAGTCAACAAGTCAAAGTCTTGCTTTATTCTAGCCCCTAATGCACAGGTGGAGGAAATTTCAAGGGTGAAAAATATTACTGAGATGGAACACAAAAGTTTTCCTATCAAATACTCGGGTTGCCCTTTGTATGTTGGAAGGAAGAAGATTTCTATTTTCTCTGAGATTATCACTAGGATCCTGAATCAGATCTCAGGGTGGCATTCCAAGTTTTTGTCCTCTGGGGTAGAGCGGCGTTAATTAGACATGTCTTATTAGCATTGCCTACACATCTACTAGATGTTTTTCATCCTCCGAAGGGTGTTCTCAACCAAATAGAAAGGATGATTACCAAATTCTTTTGGGGAGGGTCGGCTGAGAAGAAAAGAAATCATTGGGCTTCCTGGGATAACCTGTGTTTTCCATATGAGGAATGGGTGCCAAATTCAGAAAACTTAATGACATCTGCAATGCATTCACTGTAAAGCAGTGGTGGAACTTTAGAACTGGTCAATCATTATGGAAGAGGTTCCTAATGGCCAAATATTGTCAGAGAGTTCATCCACTTATAGAACAGTGGTACTCTGGGTAATCCCAATCATGGAATGCAATGTGCAAAATTAAAAAGCTTGTGGATAAGCAAATTCTATGGAAAACTGGCTGTGGAAATGTTGCTTTCTGGTTTGACAATTGGTCTGAGTTAGGTCTATTATACAACTTTCTTCTGGAAGGTTACAAACCTAAGAATATTACTCTCTCTAGTATGCTGCTTAACAATCACATAAACTTGAGAGGATTAGATCTTTTGCTTCTGCAACATGTGGTGGATAAAGTGAATACTTTCCCGATATCACTAAGATCCACAATTCTTGATAGTCCAGTTTGGACAACGAATAATAGTGGTTCTTCTTGAGTTGCTTCAGCTTGGCAATTATTTAGAAAGAAGAGGCATAAGTCATGGATTTATACTATGAATTAGCAGAAATGTGTCCAATTCAAGATGAATTTTATTGTATGGAGAGCTCTGAGAGATAAGATTCCCACAGATGCTAAAGTAGCTAAGATGGGCATCCCTACTTCCTCCAGTTGCTGTTGTTGTAGATTTCCAAGTTTATAAACTATTGACCATCTTTTCGGCAGTGGCCTCTTTGCACGGGAGCTATGGAGAATCTTGTGTGGTCCATTGGGCATTGCATATTCAAACATCTCTTTCTGACAACTTATGATCAACTGGTGGAGATGTAAAGTCACAAATCATGTTCATGCATTCATTGTTAAATGCCTGCCTATTATCACATCTTGGGAGATTTGGAGAGCTAGATGCAGCGCCAAGTATGACTCTACCACGACTAATGTGAGAAGAACAATTTCTCTGATTGCTTTCTCAATGTCCCAACTTGTCAATCTTCAATTCCAGCAAATTCAGTTGGTTCCCAACTGGAAGGAGATCAGTCAGCTTTTGAGAAGTGCTATCCATTTTGAGAAATCCATTATTATTAAATGGATTAAACCGAAGTCAGCATATGTTAAATTAAATTCTGATGGTAGTTGCAAAGAGGGAAAGTATGGAGCTGGAGGTGTGATAAGGGATAAAGAGAGTTGCCTTGTCTTTGCCTACTCTTTAGTACTTAGTTCAGGAACTAGCAACTGGGCAGAAGCAGTTGCTCTTCACTGCAGCATTAAATGGTGTCTATTTAATGGTTATCATCTTTTTTTTTTAAAATCCCTCCCAAATTAGGAGGATCTATAGTGTTTCCACACTTTTCCTCCAGCGTGACTCGAACCTAGGATCTAACGGTCGTGGGTGGAGGTATTTTTACCAACTGAGCAAGCCTCACTTGTCTAATGGTTATCATTTTATTAGTGCTGAAAGCGACTCTAAATTATTAATGGATTGTGTTAATGGTCGTAATACAATTCCCTGGAATATTGCAAAGGAGGTAGAAGAACTTAAAAAGTTCATGGATTAGTCTAGATTCTCTCTTAATCACTGTTATAGAGAGGGAAATCAAGTTGCAGACAAGCTTGCATTCATCAGTCACTATATCCCTCATTCCCAACTGTTTCGAGTGTTTTCTGACCTTCCCCCTCAAGTCAAGGGCCTCATGAACATGGATAGATAGGACTTGCCGGTATTTCGAAGGACTAGACTAAGGCTGTCCCATCCCGTCCCGTCCCGTCCCGTCCCGTCCTGCTTAATTCTAAACGGGATGGGCCCATGTTAAACGGGACACGGGATGGGACGGGATGGCCATTTCGTCCCGTCTCGTCCCGTCCCGTCCCGTCCCG